TTTCTCAGAAACAAGATAAAGTGAAGGAAATAATAGGAGGAAAGAGTAACCTGGAAGTTGGAAAGTGACCAGAGCATGACAGTCTATGTAGCTGTCCTGCTCTAAGGCCAGTCTGTTTGGTTTCTCTAGTGGTGTGAATCCCCTTATTACACTCTCAGCTACAAGGAAACTGCCAAGAGAAGGGACTCCAGTGAAATCTTACTCTTTCCTAGAGATGGGGCTCTGCATTTGTACAGCTCAAGGATGGCCTTTGCCTTGCTTCAGTAAATGCCACCCCATGGTTCTTACAAGTTTTCAACACTGAAGATAGTTATACTTAAAATTATTAGAAGCTGGAGGGGAGAAGAAATGAGGGATGTGGAGTCCTGTTAAGTTTCTATAATCTGAAGTAGTGACCACTGGTTGCTCCTAAGCATTAAACTTGAATATCAAAGAAAATGTAATTTTTTACACTATAACTTGAAATATAAAAAGTAAGAGTTAAGATATCTTACCTATAGTTTTACAGGACACATCTGATTTTTTACCATTAAAAAGAACCTTTCGTCACCTGAAGAATAATGGCTTTAAGAAGGCATGCAGTTTTTATTAAAAAAAAAAAAAAAAGGTAAAAATAGAACATACATTAATTAAAAGTTATAAAATATTAATCACAGCTACTGTTGAATAAATCCTAGCTAAACAAAAAGAAATAGGACTGTAGAATAATTATTCTTCTTCATTATAACCAAAGGACAGGCAGCTTGCAGTTAATCAAACAAATTCCACAACAGAAATCTTTATGCAGAAACATCTTTCTACTGAAGATAATTCTGTTCATTGTATTTAAATAAATTATAGTTTTATTTTCAGTGATGATAAAATTTTACTATTATTTACTATTATTTTACCTTTCTTTCTTTCATTGCAACTTTGAGACCGACAGCTAATAAGTTATGTTGCTTTATTTGTCAAACTAAAACTCAATTTTCTCAGTTCTCTTTCCTTTTAGAAAATGTAATTGGTCCATCAGATGAAAATTCACATGCCCATTTCCTTCAGATACATTTATTCTTCTGAAATATTTTTTAAAAAACATTCCCTTCTTTGACTATACCACTTAAAATCCACCAAGTCACATATAATTTGGCATTTCCTTGTAATGCAAAACTAGAAGGAATTTCTTGCCTGCTATGGAGGCAATAAGAAAAATACTAGCTGAAGTGCTGCTCAACAGTAAGAAGCAGTTTAAAATATTTCCACCTTAAATAAAGTATTAGTTTCAATGCACCCTTATTTCTATTTGTATGCAATTAGGAGTATTTCTGGAAGATGAGTTAAACACTTCACTAATTCCAGCTCACAGAAAAGGTGTTCACACTGACCTAATAGGACTTTCATAATAATAACCAAGCTGAAAACACAAATGGTATATCAATGTCTAAGAAGATTTGCCTACAATCTGCTGATACAAATATCTACTTTCAATTTCAAAGGGAGTGAGACATTAGATTTTAATCAAATAACAACTCTCATCAGTATCATTATAAATTATCTCATGAACTCTTGCTTCACAGGACAGTTACTGAGAGAAAAAAAAAGAAAAAACAAACAAACAAACAAAAAGCAGAAAATGGGCCACCAAAATGTCATTATACAACACTGATGACAGTTTATCTTCTATGCTTCCTCCTGCCACAGATTTTCATCACTAAGAAATGGAATTGTCCCCAGGAATAAAAAGGCTTATGAGACAGCAAGCAATTCAAACATGAACTCCACTCAGCATATCTCATGGGAATAATATTGATATCTCAGCACAGAAAACACTGATTGATAGACTGCATGTCTTGAGGAGCAATGTCTATAAATTTCAAATATTTCAATTCCATTCTTTACAGAGTTATCCCATTTATTTGGGCATTTTTCTAATGCAACAGAGAAACTACTGTCTCCAGAAAAGAAGAAGAAAAAAAAAATCTTAATTTTATGCTTTCAAATTAGGTGGGGAAAAAAAGTTTCTGGTTGAAAATACATGAGTTGAAAACATTTTGGAAAATAAACAGTTAAGCTAGTCACTGTACTAATTAGAAATGAGCAATAATTTGTAAAGATTCATAATTAGACACAGCTTAACCAAATCAGCCTTATGACACAGGAATGTCAATCAATGACTAATTAGAAATAGAATTTTCTTAAATGTCCTGAATATCTGTACAAAATGTGAAGAAAAAGGACAGAGAATCAGAATGTACTTAGTACAAGTAATAGCAGCCCAATAAGCTCCTTTGCAATAGGAGAATGCGGCAATACGCATACCTAGTATTGTGTAAATTTACTGAAACTGATCCACTCATCCCTCATCTGGATTTTTAATTATCAGCAACAGCTAGAACGAAATCCACCTTCCCACAAAGGATGAGCCAATGAACCAACAAACAGCTACATACAGAGCCTTCAGAACTCCTTAACCTTTTTCCCGCTGCTTATTCACTGAGGTTTAGATAGACAAAATGTATATAAACAAACAAAGCCCTTAAAGACAGACAACAATTCTACTACCACGACTTGTAAAAAGCCACCACAGGAATCCTCCTAGAATCCTCATCTATATCCTCTCCAAAAACCACACCCACCTTGTGTTTGTGTGATTTGAATGGTCTTAAAACAAGATATGAAAAAGGCACTAACATAGATTTTACATTGCTAAACTCAGCACAGAGTCACTAATATTCCAATCTCCAGACTTCCTTAACTGTCTGTATTGAAGGATAATGATACAGCTTCAGAACCACAAAGGGTAAGTTACTTTGGTCTTTTTTTTTTTTTTTTTTAACTGCAGGATACCCAAATCCTGGTATTAGTTCACAGTGGCATACCAACATAGTAGTAATCACAGTACTTGTGGACAGCCGCTTAAACTAACGAGTTTCTCTAATACTTTGTATTTCCTCACCTCTTGCTGCTACTACCCAGGATAACATTTCCTCCTAGAGCCCTTTCAGAGAATGCCTGGATTCTAGAACAGTAACAAAAAAACCTGATACTGTTATACTACCAAACCACACTGTTCATATGTATCTGATCACACCTTTGTTGTTCAGTTTACGTAGGTGTTATTCCTACTCTTTCAAAAGGGAATTCAGAGCAGTAAAAACACTTTTCAGAGATATTCTATTTAACTAAAAGGAACAGTATCACTGTTCTGATGCACATATATTAGCTACTGTCAAAATCACTACTTTTCAAGTAAGAAAAATAAGGTGCCACAGTAGCTAGGGAGTCAATCATTTTAAAGTGCTGATCTGAAGAAAAATCTCAAAGCACATTTTTGACTGGGATGTTTACACCTATATACATAGTAGGAGTAGGAATATACTGATTTTAGTGCACTCATTCTGTGTGGCCCATTGTACAGCAAAGTAGACCACAAAACAGCTTCACCTCTACAAGGAAGCACTTCCTGGAAAGGGTGTAGCCTCTAATGGAACTGCTGGTGCTTTGATTGCATATGGTAGGAAGACTGACCATCCCTTTTAATTTTGTCCTTTCCACTGGAAGGTAGAAGCTCAGAAAAGTGTATTCTTTTATTCTACCTCCTATCATTTTGGTTGTGGTTTGTTTCTTTTTTTTTTTTTTTCTCATGTGGAGGCAGCTGTTACAGTTCCTGAACAATGAGTTAAATGCTATATAGTTATTTTAGGGCATATACATCAGTCTGAGATGAAATCTTCTTAACTATACTTTACATTGTAGATCTGTCAATTCCAGATGCGTCACTGTAAAAAGTGGGGTAAGGCTTCAGAACTACTGTGTGCATGCTTTACGGGTTATGGCTTACCTCCCTGAACACTACAAAACTAATTTTCACTTCCATTACCTTCATGCTATAGTTCCGACTGAAATAAAGACTGCATGGCTCATTTTCATGACAAAGGCACAAAAAAGGTGTGTGCTCCTTTCTGCCTCCCGCCTTCCCCCAGCACTTGGCAAGCAATGCAAGTTCAGATATGATTTATTTTTGAAACATTCAGCATTCAGACGTTTTCCTTTCTATATGAGACGTTTCTCTTTTTAAATGAGAAAGTCTTTTGAAGGAACAGCATTTTGAAACAGCAGCACGTACTAAAAAACCACTGCAGCTCTTTGCTTGGCAAGGAAAGCTATAGGGGGGAAATGCTTAAGAATATTTGATGTTTACTCCAGCAACTATGGAACAGAACTTAAAAAAACCTTATAATTTAGACACAAGACACTGGAGAAATGATAGTTTCTACAGTAGGTAGTTTTCTTGCCGTTATTTTTTTCCCAGGTATGTTCAAGAGCACTTGCATGTACTTCGCTCTGCTTCTTTAAACGGGATCTATTCTGAATTTGCCGTGCAGAAGGTAAAACAGTGCCTTCACCGCACACCACCACCACCAGTCCCCCACTACCCCCCGCCCCCAAAGCCCCACTTTACTGATGCACGTACTCCAGCGAGCACATCCACCATGCAAGTGGACACAGGTGTGGAAGCATCTCTGCACTGGCGACAAAGGACTATTGTGTTTGTGTCACGTCGCTCGGAACCCCTGGAGGACTCCTGCTCCCATCGTACGCTTTCCAGCCCGACGGGGAAAGCTCTTCCCCAGGGGAGGTGTGATGCTGGGCACAGCGTCCCGTCTCCCCAGCCCGCGACTGGGGCAACCCGACACGCTCTCCCCCCACACCGCCCGCTGCCGGGCGGGCAGCGCCGTCCGCCGCGCACCCACAGCGCTGGGGGGGCCGGGGACGAGGCCGGGGACGAGGCCGGGCGGGCGGGCGGTGGTGGAGGGTCCGCTGCGCCGCGTCCCGCCGGCTCTCGCCCCCCGCAGCGCACTCACCGGGGGGCGCACGGCGGGGCAAAGGGGGGCGCAGACCGACGCCGCGGTCTCCTCTTCTCCCCCCAGAGGCTCCCCGAAAGTTACTCTACCCTCACGGGCGGGCTCCCCGTGGCCGCCACCCCCGACGGCACCGGGGGGGGTTCCCCCACCGCTTACCTGGCGGCTGCCTGGGCGCTCCCTCACGGCGAGCGGCGGCGGGGCGCGCCGCAGCCGAGGCTGCCTCTGCCGCCACCTTCACAGCCCCTTCCCGAGGTGAGCGATGCGCGGGGCGGCGGCGGGGAGCGGACGGCGAGCCGTGACATTTAACCGGGCGTCAGCAGGGTCGTGCCGGTCCCTCGGCGCAGGCGGGGGTGCCTCTCCTCCCTGGTGGGCTGGGCGGCCGATCACCGCCCTCCTCTCCGCGGGCAGGCTGAGGCGCAGGGCGAAGCCCAGTCCATCCCCGGAGACCCAGACGCAGCGCGCTGCCCGAGCCGCTGGCGGCTCCTTTCCTCTCCTCTCCTCTCGCCTGGCAGTCACCGCTGCCCCTTCCCTGCAGTGAGGGGCGAGAGACGCGGCAGCCGCAGCCAGGCGGCGGAGGCGAGAGCTGGGCTGGCCGCCTGCCCCTCGGTGGGGCCAGGCACCAGGGGGACAGCAGCGGGGCGCGGTGGCGGGCGGGCAGGCGAGGCGGCGGCTCCGGCAGCGCGGGGAGGCAGCGCCAGCTCGAGGTGAGGGGGGCGGGCAGTGGGGAGGGGAGGGGGGGCGCGTCTCTGTCAGAGGCGGAGCAGCTCCTTCCGCGCGCCGGCTCACACGCCGGCGAGTCCCGCCGAGGCAGCGGCGGTACCTCGGGGAGGCAGAGCGGTTCTCGGAGCGGCGGCCGTGCCACCCGCGCCCCGGTCGCTGGCGGGCTGCGGAGAGGTGCCCGCGGCCGTACCGCGGGCCGGCAGCCGGCCGGCCCTTATTAGCCGTCCCGCGCCGTGAGGAGGGGGCGCGCGTGGCGCCCCCGCAACCCCGCGAGTTGCGGCGCTCCCGCCTCCCCGGCGCGGGTGGTGGCGCGGTGGATCCCCCCCTCTTTCCACCCCTGCTCCCGCCCCGCCGCTTCCCGGGAAGACCAGGGCGGGTCCGCTGCTCAGAGGTCGGGGAGCCGCCGCCTCCGCGGGGTGCCGCGGTTTGGGGGTGTGTCTCCCCGGGAGCGGAGAGGGGGGGGGGGGCGCGCAGGAGGCAGAAACCCGCGCGGCCGGGCGGCCATTTCAGGGGCGGCGCGCGGGGGAGGGCGCGGGCTCGCGGGCGGAGGAACCCGCGGCTCGCTCTGGGACCGTCCCGCGCCCGACGGCGCCGCTCGGGGCAGCGCCGGGCACCCTCCGGGAGAGGGGAGGGCACCCTCCGCCGGGCCGAGAGGGGCCCGGCTCCTCGGGGAGGCCCCGGCGGGCGAGAGCGCTGGGGTCTGGCGCGGCTCGGCGGCAGGCACGGGCCCGACAGGGCGGGTGGGACGGCTGCGGGGCGATGACCGTCGCCGTCGGCCTTGTGTTCTGCAGGTGGCCGCGTCCGAGGCCTCCTCGAGACCGTGCTGTGGAGAGGACGGTGGCCTTTGGCGGTGTGAGGGCGTCACCAGCCTCTTCGCCGCTTGCTTGTCTTGCGCTTGCTGCTGGAAGAGCTGTTGCTGCCCCTATTCCTCCCTGCACTTGGAGAAAATCAGTGCTGCATGAGGAGTTTCGGAGCTCGGTACCCCGCTCTGTGTTCTTTGTGCTGTTTGAAACAGTTGCGTTTAACACATTTTTTAACGGAGTACGTGGAGTGTCAGGTTCGTATTGAGCAACTCAGGAGCAGCAATGCCAGGTCCCTAAGATGAGTCTTAGAGTGACCTTTTATTTCTTTTTAATTTTTTTTATTGGCAGCAAATTATATCGCTTTCTGTAGAAAGCTGGCTGGAGGTTGTAATCCTCAGAAATCTGTGTTATAAAACCGATGAAATATTAGTACATTTAAGGAATTTCTCTTACCAATAGGAGCAGTGATTTGAAAGTCACAAATAAGTGAACGATATGGTGAGTTGCTTTTTGCTAACATAGCAGGGTGGGAGAAAAACACACATAACGCATTCTTCAAAACCCAGACATGTTGTGTTGGAAGTGGATAATTTAGAATAAAGGAAGCTACCACAAATGAAACACAGTTCTTTATTCTTTTACCACCAATGGTTTGTCCAATGTTATGTGTTTTGTCTTTTCCTTTCAAGCGGTAGCCCTGGTAGCCATACTTCAGAGCTAAGAAAACTGTTATCTTCACAACAGAAGCTTTTCCCTTCAGCTTCAGCAGTCAGCTTCAGTGGTTATTTCAATGTTATCAAGACTTCCTGTTTTCTCTTGTCTCCTTCTCTGGCCTAAGCCACCCAAATAGGGAGGCTAAAACCAAAGAAGAGCAGCTAGCTGCTTTTAGCCACTGATAAATAAGTTAAAGAGCAGCATCTTGACCTTGGCTCTACCTCTGGTGATGCTGTAATACACATAATGCACTCATCAATAAAAGGAAGCTCTGCTAATCCAGGATCATGTGCCAGACATCCAGGCAGGAGAACTATGGCTTATAATACATCATATGGAATGTCTTAGGATTGAAAAGAAACAGTAGGAAGGAATAATCTATAATAAAAGGATTGAGAGTTCCTGCAAAGTTTGGAGAAAAACCAGAAATAAACAATAACTGGTAAAACTATTTTCGTATTATGTGGATTAAAAAGCAACTGACTCACTGACTTTTTCAAGTTAATCACTTTTTAGAAAGTGCTGACCACAAAATACAACATTCCCCCTGGTCTCAAACTGAGTACCCAAATATGTTAATACTGGGTCCCAGCTGTTGAACTGCAGTTAATTTAAAAATAAAAAAAAAATTAAAAAAAAAAAAGTTACTGTGATTTCTGTGGACTGCTGGTAACACAAACAGGTTGCTGTTCTGAGGAAATTGCACTGATGTTTTCATCGCCATTGGAAATTTTATATTGCATATAGAAGTATCTAGAATTTGCAAGTAAAGTGTAGTTTCTCTGAAGGTTTATAAACAGCATGGTAAAGTATTGCATCTACTCCAAGAAGTGTAATGACGAGAAGAAATGGGAGACTCTTCTGAATTCTGCTGCCTTATGACTGTTACTCTAAGTGGAAGATAAAGCAGGATAGCTATACATAAAGACTGAACTGCTACAGACTGAAAATAGAAACAGGAAAGTACTAAGGTTATCACTGTACCCTTCAGAGTTGTTTCTGAAGTAAGGAAATGCTACAAGTTAATATGAAAAAATTAGAGATTGAAATTCAGTCTCTAGAGAATGGATCACCAAAGGGAACTCCTTCAAACAATGAAGGAACAGAAAACCTTAAGAATTCTCCTGCATCTCCTCAGTTGTCCTGACCAGTTCAATGTATTATACATATTTTGTGAATCTCAAAAGGTACTTCTACAGTAAGATGCCAGAACTCAGTGCAGCTTGAGAAGCTTACTGTTTTCTTTCAATTGTAGGCATTTAGCTTTCAGAAAAGATAACAATGCAAAACAAGAAGTCAAATGTTTCTGTACTGCTGTCCATTCAGTCTAGTCTCCATATAAAAATCAAATATGACAAGAGCTTTTTTTCATCTTGGCTCTGGGGAATTATGTGCATACCACAATCTAAAAGCACTTTTAAAAGAACCTATTAGCTCTTTAATTGTAAAGGCCCTCTGAAAGGGTGTCGTACTTCTCTTTTGCCATAAAGTCTGGAAAAGGAAGGAGTAAGAAGTTCACAACTATACTTTCTTTGTAATTTGCTCTGAAAATGCAGTTCCTATAGAAACAGAATGATTATGCATTTACCTTTAACTCCATTGTAAGTAAAGATTACAGTGCCTCTTCAAATGAAATTAAATAATCTTCAAATCACTGATCATTTAACAAGAAATATTAAATGTATCAAAAATGCTTCAACCATTTCTAATTGTCTTGAAATTATTTCCTTAGTTATTGTACTAGTACTTAAAGGCTTCTGTCACAAGACTGCAAACAGTGATGTCTTTATTGGGTTTGGCATGTACAATAAGCTTTTTCAGATTTATAAAAATGCTTAACCTTACGAACCTCTGAAGAGTTGGGCTCACACTGGTATGCTTGTGTTTTCTTTGCCCCAGTATTTAGCATGTTATTTGGCATCTAGGTAGGATGAAATCAATGGCTGAATTATGATTTGGACCTTATCATTAGGTGTGTCTTATCTAGAAACAGAAATAAATATATTTTAAAAATTTAAAAATAAGGAAAACATGGTTTAGCATCCACATACATATATCGGTATATGATTTAAAGTTTTGAAAAAAGTACTTTCAGTGCTGACTGAACTCAAAACTTCAAATTTTAAACATTTTCAAAATATATTTTTTAAGAAATGCTGCTCATATAATAATTTACAATTTCTTGTGAAAAATTATATTTTGAAAAATATTAATACTCCTTTTACAATATAAAATTATTCCCAAGCCAGAAAGAAACTCAAAAAATGAATTGGAAACCAACAATAGTTTTTTCATGACATACTTTTTACACTGCCACTAATTTTACTCAAAATCTAATACCTTCTTAGTTCGACTTCTTTTACAAACATACCCCTTCCATTTGAGATATGGTTTGAATGGAATTAAAAAATATTCTGTTGAGCTAAAAGTTGGTCAGTGGATTATAATGAGACTTTGCTTCATTCATTTAAAGCTCCTACTTGCAGTGTCTCTGCATGTAAGGTGGTACCTGCAAACAGGATTAAATCTCTGAAATTGAATGACGGGCACCTTGGTGTTGTGTGTCTCTTCAATTTTGAATGGGATGCATTGCCCAGCAGGTGGTGGAGATGGGACTGCTGCCGTCCATGCCAAAGGTGATGTTCTTAGTTTTCTGAATAAGAAAAGGACCTGTACTGGAAGTACAATTGCTGCATGAATAGGACCTGCTTATTTGTGCCAAGATAGGTGCAATTTAGAGCTTAGTGACGTGAGATATGCTGTGTGAGAACCATCACAACCACATATGTGTGAGTTCAAATCATGATGTTTACCAAAATAATGCCATTCTGCAGTTCTGCATAGCTTTTATGCATGCTGCAGTAACTCCCCTGTGGGAATCCATGAGTACTTCATAACCGTGCAAGTTTTCACTGTAGTAGACCATCCACGTGCCCCAAAGATCATTCACTGGGAAAGGAGGGAGATATGTGTATATATCACTACTTACTATTAGTAAAGTCAGACCCAATAAATAGTCTGTTCTACTTATTTCATCACAGAGGCAAATATTTTGCTGCCTTATACTTCTAATCATCTATGAGGTGTCCCTGTTATATTAAACAGTATTCAGCAAGTGTGAATCATTTCTTTAGAAACTACAAATCAGAATTTTTTTTTTTTAAGTTTTTAGAGGACACCAAATAATTCTGGAAGAAAAGCATTTTCTCTTAAATACCAGTAGGAAGCCTAGCAAAATAACTCTAATGCACATTTACTAAATATTCAGTTCCCA